TTTTTTATTTAATCACTTTCACCAGAGTGTGGTGAGGGTCGCACAACAGAGCGAGGCTCCAAATTAAGTGCGCCCTATATCCCACCCATCCCACCCCAGGGGAGGACATCCATCACACAGTAATCTCGTGTGTGGGAAATTAACGTCTCCTACCCCAACCCTGCAGGAGACGGGACCTCCATTTATTCGTCCCTATCCGAGAAGACTAGAATATCTAACCATTTCTTGATGTTATAGAAAGGTAGCAAATTCTTCTCAATTATTTTAAGACCCTGAGTGTTGGTCCGGCCGGGGCTCGAACCCTCGACCTCCCGCACAACAGTCCAGCGCTCTATCCATTGAGCTAACCGGGAGGCGGTTAATATTCTTCCTTATCTTATTCTGCGGAATGATTTTCTTAGTGGGCAATGTTGGCAATTCCAAAAACGTTTTTGATAATTCTTATTAGTACTATAACTTCACTTTTAATTGCGTGTACAAATCTTTGAAAGAGCGAAAGTAAGGTTCCAGACTCAATTGGTAGTCATTACACAGGTCAGGATCATGACGGAGCCTCCGGGGGATACGGTGGGGACAGTATCATCAAGAAAGGAAGAAGAGGGGCACGGATGATTGGAAACTTTCATTTGACTAAAGATGAGATCATTCGTGTCCTTGTTGGTCCAAAAGGGGAAGATGGGGAAAAGACCCCACCAACTTCTGGAGAAGGAGAAGGTACATTTCTAGTGAGAGAAAGCAACAAGACTTTGATCATAGCTGGAGGTGGAGTGTGGATCAAATGAATGTCAAAACAAACATCCAGGATGTGATACATCCATAACCACCACAGGGAATACAGGGTACAACTCGCCATTAGGTCTGGGAGGAAGCAACGGACATATAGGAAATACTAGTAGTGGGGATTTTGGTAGGTGGAGCACGTTCCTTTTAAAACAATATACAAGACTTTCGTTACAATCCACTGCCATCCTTGAGGATATTCAACCAAATGACAGAGTAAGTCGCTAATAATCAGATCTTGAAGAATTTTACAAACGGTAATTATCAAAATTATTAATGTTAGTTTAGAAGATTTTTATCAATTGCACCTTTGGGGGCGCATCATACCTACCTGACTTCACAAGCACTAATTGAAGAGTTAATTGCAGCATTTTAACGCTGACTTGTCCTCATAAGGTTTTTTATTGCTAACAATATCCAATAATTAAACTTCCATAAAGCGAGAAATAAACTTATTGTAAAACAACGCGAATCGTTCTTTGATCGCAAAAAATTAAATACGTAGCTGCTATTTGTAAGAAAACCACTGATCTTCTTGTGGCTATATTGTAGGTGGTGGTGGCGGCTTCTACGGAAACGGACAAAATGCAGCGACCTCTGGTGGGGGCAGGGAGGTTCAGATTGTCTTCAGAGAGGAAGGGGCGGACATTTTCAAGGTGGGTTCGGAGGTGGTGGTGGTTTTCATTTAGTCAACAGGGGACCGGGCGGAGGTACAGGTTACTCTGGAGGAAGTGGCCATGGTGGGTCTACTGAACCTATTTCCAGTGAGGGAGGGGGAGGATCTTTCAACGATGGAACAAGTCCACAATATGAGTGTTGCTATAACACCGCGGGCCATGGCTGGCTAAACACCACATTTGTCTAATGACATGCATATGGCAGGACTTTTGTTNTTTAACGACTTGCAAATTTAAATGGGAGGGCCAGTTATCAGAATACAGTGCTTTAAAAAGTCTTTAGTAGCGAGTAGTCCCTTAGCTCCAGGATAGGTAGCTAGCCAAGATCCAAAATGGTAGATATACTGTTTACATAGTTACAAGTCATGAAAGTAGCCATAGCGAACTGGAGCCTTTGTAGTCTAGCTGAGAGGAACTTTGGTAGTGGATAGAAAATAATGTCACAGTAGCTTATTTTAGACAGAATTAATGTTTCTACCAAATGTTTCCGTAGTTTAAAATTAGTAAAGTTCCTTATTTTTTTTAAGGTTCTCAGAGTCGCATAACAAGATTTAAGAATAGCACTGATATGAAATTCCCATTTAAGATTTGAGTCAATGTGTACTCCCAGGAGTTTTGCAACATTTATACGTTCCAGTAGTTTACCTGAGATTTCTAATCCCAACTCCAGATTTCCGAGAGAATGTACATGAGCCATCTGTGGAGTTAGGATAAGAACGGCCTTGGTTTCCTTATAATTCAGGACCAGGTTTGAATCATTTGACCAGGCGCCGAGGCCTGCCAGGGTTGCATTCATGCTTTCCGCTTAAGATGTGATCTGTGGTGTAGAACAGCCAGAGTATAATATTGTATCGTCGGCATATTGGAAACTTTTGATAGTAGGTGGAAGAATATCTTGAAGATCCGCGACGTAGAGATTGAACAACATCGGTCCAAGGATTGAGCCTTGGGGGATTCCAAATTCGGAGAGCATGGGTGACGATTTGCGATCATCAATTTGAACGTAATGTCTCCTGCCGCACAGGTAATTAGCCAGCCATTCGAGGACATACTTTGAAAAACCGAGGTGATGCAACTTGGTTATCACCGTTTTAAAACAAACGGTATCAAATGCTTTCGAAAAATCTGCTAGTACCATAAGAGTTACCTCTTTCCTTTTCATGGCATTCAATAGGTCGTCCCTTATACCTAAGAGTACCGTAGAGGTCGAATGCCCCTTACGAAAGCTCGAGATGGTGTCTCTAAGAAGAGATTCTCTACTGTAGAAATCAGTCATTTGAGAAGCAACAAGCTTCTCAAATACCTTAGAAAGTACGGGAAGAATCGACACTGGACGCAAGTGATCTTCCGAAACAGGAGTGTCAACTTTTGGAACGGGGCTGATGCGCGCGAGTTTCCAGGCATGCGGGAAGTACAACTTTCAAATACAGTTATTGATGATAGTTGTGAGTGGGCCGGCCAAGTATCTAGCAACTAGCTTTACAAACTGGGCAGGCAATTGGTCGGGTCCAGGCGAACAGTCGGTGTGCAATTGTTTAAGGGTTCGCAGGACTTCTCTTTGTGTAACACTTTCTAGGTGGAAGGCGCCCTCTTTTGCCGTAAGATCGCGGATGAACTGGACGAGTTCATCTTGGTTGGTCGATTCAAAATCAAGCGTTCTCCTTGCGTTCGTAGCAAAATAAAGATTAAGCTTGTCTGGGTCGAGCCTTAAAGGCTGTCGACAGGGGTGGTAAACCATGCGCCAGACTTCCTTAGACTTGTTGGACAGCAAAGCCTTTTCCATGAAAGCTTAACGAGGTTTGCGTATAGAGCTCTTTATTTTATTTCGCACTTACCGGAAAGCAGACCAAGAAGATTCTGAATTTGACTGATGCGCTTCTCGCCTCAGTTTGTCTCGTTGTGACTGGAGGTTAAGTATTGTTTCGTTATCCATCCAAGTAGCGGAAGGACGTGTAACACTGCACCTTCTGAGGGGTGCGTGCCTTTCAAGGCAGTCGTTAAACAAGGTGTTGAGAGTCTCTAATTGATCGTCAGGGTCATCAGTTGATGTTATTACCGAAAATGGTAATGCGGAAAAGTCCTATACAAAAGCTGTCTCATTTAAGTTCTTCAGATTTCTGATGTACTTATATCTTGGCTGATAACGAGCTACGCAGATGTTTACACACGCAAAGGGGCCACTCACAATACTGAACGGTATCACACCATGAGATGTTATTTTGGATGGATCATTGATAATAATGTGATCCAGTAAGGTTCGGGATGTTCTTGCTGTTCTTGTAGGTTTGTCAATGATTTGCTTGACATTAAAGGTGTCAAGTAGGGAGATATATAGCCGCGTTGGGGCGTCCGGTATACCCAATAGATCACGTCGCCTGTAAGAATGAGAAGACCATCCCACTACGCAATGATGCAACTGATGAGATCTTCGAACTTGTCCAGCCATGCCGAAGGTCTGTGCATGGCTTCTGACCGTAAAAATTCCCCAGCAAAAGTTTATTACGCTTCTTCATTCCTTGAATTTCCAGCCAGAGGTGTTCCATGTCAGGTTCGGTGTTCTCGATGTCCTTTCGTCGCTTGTATTTGATATTGTCTCGAATATAAACCCCCACCCCACCGCCCTTCACATTGTCCCGATTCCGAAATTCTTTCGAGAAACCAGGGAGTGAAACATATTCTAGTCGATCCTTATTGTTCTTCATCCAGGTCTCACTTAGAGTTATGATATCAAGGGGGTATTTGTTGACTGTCAAAGCGAATTCATTAAATGTCGAAAGCATACTTTGCGTATTCAAGTGCATCAACTTCAGCTTGCTGGATTTATCGATCAATTTCTCTAATATCTCATCATTAGCTTGCATTTCGTAACAGGCCTCAGACGGGCCTGATAGGTCTAGATCACATTGATCATGAAAAGGCTTATTGTAAGTACAATTGCGAATTGATAAGTAGTCATCAAATAACAGGTAAAGAATTAGAAAAAGTTGGTATTTTGCACAAAAATAGTCGTGAAGTCAATTCTTCATATTCTTATGAATTTCAGTTACCTCATTTCGTCCAATAAGCACCCGGGCTCCTATCTAAAATCTCATGATCAGCTTAAAGGAGGGGCGCTTATCGGTAGTGGGAACCCCCTATTGAGAAACTATTGACCTGTCTTCATTCCACTGTAGTGGAAGCTTGAAATCTATATACAAATATATACAAATTAATCCAATGAAGCCTTTCACTCCTGTAAAAAGTAAAATGTTTCACAAATCCATATCTATATAGAAAGTGGCTATAGAAACAGGTTTTTCACGTATCCCTACTATTTAAGAAAGTGAGGGAGGTGGGAGCACTTATCTGAGGGGTGCCTCTTTGATATTATTTTTGTTAATAGGGGTTTCAGTGATATGAAAAAAGGGATACCAGACTTGACGCGGTACAGATTTAACATTGCTCGACTCACCCATAGACTACTCCACGGTACGCCAAGAATATTTGCTGGCGTTCTGCATTTAGTATTTCCCACTCGAGCCCATCCAGGACCAAGTCTTGAGCGATGAAGTGCTCATATTGTCCATGTATCAACATCGTCGGGTCGTTGAGACTGCTGTACTCAATATCAAGTCGTACTCGGTGAACACAATAATGAATGAAAAATGAGCCAAATGCCCCGCTATTTCCTTGTCAAGCGACAGCAATTCGCCTATTCCCTTTTCTGTCTTTTGAATTGTAGTCTCAATCATCCACAACAAGTGATTCAAATGAACAACAAATCTCCATCATTTAAACTCAGTTGTTTAATTGTTGCGCACTAAGTTTTATCAGATAAAATTAACTGACGCTACGTTTTATTGCCAATTGCCTACAAGTAGTAATAAGTCCAAAAAACAATATGATATTTTATCTGAACAAAACCTCTCATTCGTACTTTTTGGATTTCATATCAAAATTCCCCCCAACTTTTCGGTTTAAGAAATTTCAAACCACTTTCATAATAGGAAAATAAATCTAACAATTGCGTGACACATAAGTCGCGCAGTGACAACCAAAAGTATTCATTTCTACAACATGATTGCTTTCGGAGAACACAAAACAACTTCTATCGTATTGCAAGTACTTTGAAGATGTTTTTTATAGCATTCAAGTAGTTATTATTGCCATTGAAGCTCACAAACTGCAAATGATAAACAAAGTCGGTCTTTCGCCAACTTCACCGAAAAGAAAACTTTTTATGAATTTAAAGCCCTCGTATGCATAGCAGCACAGAAACCCCAGAAAAACAACTCTACAAACAGGAATTTTATCATTTCTACTTCTCATGTTTCAAATATAAAACGCTTATTTCACTTAGCACAAAGAAAAATAATTTTTTGAAGCTACCCTACTTTTCCCACGGCACTTAAGTAAATAGATAGAAAAATCCGTAATTTATTTTAAATTTAAATATTGACTCTACTTTTTTGGTGAAAATATTGGGGAGGTATTGTTCTAAAACTCTGTGGAATAAGTAAGTAAGTTTTTCGCTGCTTTAAAAGTACAAACGAGGCCTCCAAAAATTGGCTAAATTCGACGTTCGAATAACGCTAACTACGCGTTAATTTGAGTTTTATCAATTTTCTCGAAAACAAAAGAATTTTTCAATAAAATATGGCTTGGTTTGTTTTACCTATAGGCCTACCTAATACTAGAATATAACCCAATTCGATTTTTTGACTGTTGCCGGTGAAAGTTTGATTTCTTGTGACAACCTCTCTTAAAATGACTTCGCATGACACTCTTGAGTGATTTTACTCGGAGAGTTAGAAATTGATTTATTCAAAATTGTAGGTATGCATTGGACAAAAAAGTTCAAAAGGAAGCCAATATTGTGAATATATATTTTGAAAAACTCAGCAGGAATGACAGACAAGTATGGAAAAGTTAGAAATATGTCTGCAGAAGTATGCAAGTCACATCATAAAATCAGTAAAACTCAATATAATTTGAGCTTTGATATGTTTTGTTAGAATTGTAGTCAGACGTGAAGAGTGTATAAAAAGTCATTAACTGGGCCCAAAACATTGCATTCACAGGGACAGAATTAGGTCGGAATAAAAAAAAAACTAAAGGAAATCTTCCCCCTAGAATTCAAATTTAAGGACATCGATACACCCGCTAACCAATAACATCCCACAAAAACTTATTCAGTTGTGACAACCGCTGAGAACCTCATAATTACAAAAATAAGATGGCGTATTGTACGTACATTAAAATTCAGCTGTCTCATTTTGTCTGATACACCCCTTAAAGTTGAAACACTCATCGTGTTTGATCGCTGGAAATATAACAGGCGTTTACTGGGAACATGATCTTTGTATTCTACTGCTCCGTTCTTACCGTTTTGACTTCCTTAATACCAGAAGGACAAGGTGAGATTTTTCTTTAGTTATGTCTGAACTACCGTCTGAATATAATTTTAGAGTTTACCAAATCATTGTAATACTTTTTTATTATCCTTTTTAAAACAACTTGTACCTTAAAATGATTTTAAAAACTTCTTTCAGTGGCATTAGATATTATGAGTTATTTCAATAGAACAGTTTTCTCTTTAGAGTAATATAAATAGATCTACAAAAAGGTTCATATATTTTTAAGTGCGGTATTTTGCCATACATGTTTTTGGAAGTATCAGGATGACGAAAGAACCAATTTATTGGAAGCATGGTTTTTGGAGCAGCCGAGCGCGAAAGTTTACTTCAAAATAAATAATCACTTCTCTGCAACGCTGTCCATGCACGTTTTCGACTTTTTGATCCCGCGCGATGGATATGCTTTGACTACGGGCAGACTTTTGTTTGGAAATTGTGGAAATTCTTATTGAGGTCAACTGAGCTTAAAAGTTTTTTATGAATTAAAAGGTGGTGTTTGAAGAAATTTGGCCTAAGATGCAGTTGATCCTGTTATTCAGATTTCACAAACCTAAATCGAGGACTGTGCAGCCTTTAAAGACAGGAAGTTCTAAGTTAGCTTGGGGCACAATTTCACTTCACATACATACATTTATTGCTGCTCCATAAACAGGTGGTTTCCACGCACAAATTAGTTTTGAAAATTTTACACAGTCCTGTTTGAAAACGGAGATCGCTGACCGTGGATTCGTGGAGTTCGTATTGATATTTTGAGTTCAAAATTAGTTTTCGTGATTTTTTAAGCTTCTTCAAGTGCGAGAAGAAATAGCAGAGCCTTTTTTGCATCAGACACAGTTTTCACTGTGCGCTGAAGACGGGTTTTTAAAATCCTGCCAGTTATTTCATGCAACAATGATTGTCCATCGCCATCAGTGATGCGATATAGGGTCGAAATAATGTGAACATTGACGTCAGTACATTCTACTAATCATAAAAAGATTTCAACGTTCTAGACTGAATTGAATGAAAATGAATACGTTCGATAATACTTTTCGACTACGGGGAAAGTAGCTCGGTGTGGGCTCTCTAGAAAACCATGGGTGCGTTCACCACAGGGAATTTATTTTTTAAAAGGAATTCCTCATTATTGATGCAGACATCCTGTTTTGACTGACAGGACTTGAACTTTGCGTCCGGCTCAACAATTAACACCACGCTTTGAGTCCTCGCTTATACCAAGAGAGGAAATTTAAACATCAAATTTATTCCGTTGCAGTTTAGCCTACCATTAACACCAGACTAGATGATTTAGCAGTACATTGAAAACAGCAATTTTCGAGAGGACGCTTTCGAGAGCATGATGGTGTGAAAATACAAATATTGCAATATGGCGTGTGGCAAAAGTTCCAGAAAAAGGAAAGGAAAACTGTTTCATTAACTCTCGGCGTCCTATTTTCTATCATTTTTCAAGCTTTTATCGATCGCATGACTCATTTCATCATATTTCCTCTTCACTCATCCAGAATTTTCTCATTTTAGGACTTGTTATTAATGTTAAACTCAATTACCCCCTTAAATGTGCTTGCTCGAGGCTAACTTTCGGAGTTTCGCTTCCCAGTGATTGTTATTGCATACTATCGAAAAGAACTATTTTTATATTTATCAGAGCTTGGTAAAAAAGTAGGACCTGAACAGTGTTAAAAAAGTTTAAAAAATCTTGACATAACTATGAGTTCTTAATTACAAGTTTACAAGATTGTGGGTTATTCGTGAGCGGTTATTGTCGATCTGTTTTTCGTTTCATAATACGAAGCATAATCGAATCTGAAGTCACGCGACATCGGCCGAACAGACACTGCAGGAATTGAGCTTTGGAACGAGACAAAACAAAACAACTCCAGGAAAATAATCTCAAAACCTTTTTTTTCACAAACTAAACATGCTCGGACGCGATGACAATCACATGTACCCGATTAAAACGACCCCCTCCACCCCCCTCCCCCATTACATATACATATCAACACGAAGGAAGAATAGCAAACGCATCGATCAGTCAGAATATGAGTTGAAAACACTCAGATTGTGTCAATTTTAGGGCAAAAAGCCAAAAGTCAAACTAAAGGAATGATTAAACAATAACATTAATCTACAGTTAGATAGTAAGTAGATGTCCTTAGTACTACATGGTAACTTTCCAACTTAACATAATTGTTCACCAGGTAACTGTCGTAGTCTGAGGTTTACCAGTATTCCTAAACTTAACTACCGGTTAGAGAATCACACGGTTCGAACTATTGACGTTGTCAACGAGGATCTCTGCAGGACACAATGCTACTTGGAACCCAACTGCGTCAGTTATAACTTTCACAGGATTAGAGAAGCGTCTGGAAAACATAAGTGTGACCTGAATAACGCGACTGTTGAACACGATGAAGATCTGGTGATGAGCGAAAGTCATATTTACCGCGGAGCTGAGGTGAGGATGAATTCTTTAGGTTAAGAGTAATAATGCTTGCCCGGGAAAGTTTCGATACAAAACTTAGGGATGTGCTGGCCTTTCCCACCCATTTAAATTCCCTACTTGCACCGGGAACAAATGTTAATACAATCACTTGATCGAGTGTATCACAAACCAGCTTGCTTTAAATACAAGTACTCGTGTAAAAACTGGTACGCGATAAAAAATAAGAGTACACCTGTGGACCATGAAGGTGCACGTGTAGAACTCACCTCCAAAACAGAGTCCAAAAACTGAAACTGCACGAGACAGAGGTACACTAACACACGCATAGTCGGTAAATTAAACAGATGTCATGCCTGCCGAAGTAAAAATCAGTTGAAGTTACTTTGTTCCTACTCCTTCCTTAGAATGCTTGTAAGAAAAATCGTTGCAAGAATAACGCAACATGCCAAGCCGGGTTTACAGACAGACATTATCAGTGTTTGTGTGTTTATGGATCTGGATTTAAAGGCCATGATTGTGATGAGGGTAGGCGAGTCTAATAATTTTATTAGATACATGATTTATCACTGGCAAGATCTGCACGCCCCTTCCCAAAAATTAATTTCCTTTAGATGATTGGGCAGACTTATCTGGAACGTGGTTTGAAATAAGTAAGGAACAAACAATCTCTAGCACCTCTATACACAGATAGCTGAAGGCCTTTGTTCTTCAAAGCTTGCAGGGAGAAAAATTAAGGATCGCAAAAGCTATCAATTTAAAATAACAAAGAGAACTTATACAAATAACTATATTGCTGCTCATGGTATATCTTAGAGGCGGGTTTTCTTTTGTGTCAATTTATAATTATTCCCTATTCTTTACCACATCAGTCTTTTTAAGAGTTTTTTTCCTTGGGTTTTCTGTCACCGTCTACGGCAACTGACTTGCGATGCTCAGTTTGGTTTTTAAGCGAAGGAAATGTTAATGAAACTGAGTATGAATTTTGCGCGGTGACTCCATTATTAAATAGAGATATAACAAAATAAAACCCTTTAAGGAAAATTTCGATTATCTGTATTACTTTCTTCATCTTAAGATGTAGACGAGTGTGCCACGGGAAAACACGGCTGCGAAGGCAACACGATATGCAATAACACCGTTGGATCGTACACCTGCAGGTGCAAGGAAGGATACGAGGAAAATGAGACAAACTGTACTGGTACATATTCTTATCTGACAACAGGAAACGTTAGCATGAAAGCTGAAACATTTGCAGCCAAACAAAAAACCTAACATAATTGCAATGCTCATTTTGTTTTATTAGACATAGATGAGTGTTCTAACGAAGAAAACGGCTGTGATTTGAATGCTGAGTGTAACAATACCATGGGATCTTACAGCTGCACGTGTAAAGATGGATTTCATGGAAATGGAACCTACTGCACAGGCAACTGTTTGTAACATAATCTTCCTTATCTTATTCTGCGGAATAATTTTCTTAGCGGCAGTGAGCAATATTGGGAATCCCAAACCTTTTTCATTATTTTTCTTGCTAGTATCATAATTTTACCTTTGATTTTATGTTAATCATACAGGATTTACAGCTGTGTTTACAAATCTTGGTAAGAGTACAGGGGACGGTCCAAAGTCGATTGGTAGTCATTACACAGGTCAGGACCATGAAGGACAAGTTGCATTGTCCAGCGGTATTCAACTATGGACTGTGCCATACAGTGGTGAGTACAGAATAGAAGCAATAGGAGCCTCAGGGGGATACGGTGAGGACAGTCTCATCAAGAACGGCGGAAGAGGGGCATGGATGATTGGAAACTTTCATTTAATCGCAGATGAGATCATTCATGTCCTTGTTGGTCAAAAAGGGAGAAGTGGGTCTCACAGCACAAAAACTGCTGGAGGCGGAGGAGGTACATTTGTAGTGAGAGGAAGCAACGCGCCTTTGATCATAGCCGGAGGTGGTGGGGGAATTAAAAAAATGTCCGAACAACATCCGAGATGTGATGCATCCAAAAGCACCACAGGGAATGCTGGGATCAGCTTTTCATTGGGCTCGGGGAGAAGCAACGGACATGGAGGACAGATTAGTAGTGGGGATTCTGGTAGGTAGAGAATTCATTTTTTGCAAATACTGAGATTTTCGTTGCATTCTACTGCCATCTTTCAAGATCTTTAACCCAATAACGAAGTAAGTAGCTAATAATCAGACTTTGAAGGACTGATTGAAACAGTAATTAACAAAAATAATTAATATTAATTTCAATTGTGGTTTTCTTTGATACTACCTTTTATAGTACCTTATACAAGACTTAAACTTCTGTTAAAATTGACTTTTTCTTTTTTAAGTTTGCTACATATTTATCCAATTCTCGACATCGATCAACAAATGTACAGCTGGAGATAACAACGAAATAGTTGACAACGCTTCTGATGCAGACTGCAGACCTGGACTAAACAGAAGCACTAGACACCTAACGCTGACTTGTCCTCGCAAGCTTTTTATTACGAACAATATCCAACGATAAACCTAAAAAAATACAACAAGAAACAAACTTAGTTGCTTCGTCAGCGAAGCGTTCTTTGATTGCAAGGAGGTGCTATTTGTAAGAGAACTACTTAGCACTTTTTGATTGCGCTTTAGGTGGTGATGGCGGCGGCTTCTACAGTAATGGACAAGATGCAACGAGCTCTAGGATTGGAGGTTCAGGATATCTTCAGGGGGGAAAAGGTGGAGAGTATGGAGGTGGGTTCGGAGGTGGCGGTGGTTTTCGTTCATTCAACAGGGGACCGGGCGGAGGTGGAGGCTACTCTGGAGGACGTGGTGGGTCTAATGAACATATTTCCTGTGGGGGAGGGGGAGGATCTTTTAACAATGGAACAAATCAGCAGAATGAATGTTGCTATAATAGCGCTGGTCATGGCTGGGTACACGTCACATTTCTCAAATGAAGGGCACATGGCAAGACTTTTGTTAACGTGTTGCGGTAAATTACTTTCGCGTGAACTTTGCCCTAATGTAAATACAGTTAGCAATTGATAAGGTAAAGGTAAAGAATTACTACTAGCTAGTATTTTGCACAAAAAAAGTTGTGAAGTCAGTTCATATACAGTTATTATACTCCTATAATTCGTATTTTATTTACAGCATTTTCTCGAATAAGCGACTGGACGCTTATTTAAAATTTTTGCTGAAAGGAGAGGCGCTTAATTAATTGAGGGAGTGCTCGTTAGGAAATTTTTTAACCTGAAGCTGTTCTATATAAAGTGGCAATAGATACAGGTTTTTATTGCATTCCTACTTTTTGAGAAAGCGAGGGAGGAGGGGGGCAATTACTTGGCAGGGAACCCGCAGGCTAGGGGAATGGTGCTTATTTGGGGGGGGGGGGCACTTATTAGAGCGTAAGCGCTTATTCCAGGAAATATGGTATTACATAGCTAAAAATTATTTCAATTAACCGTGAAACTTTATCGTGCAATCACTTTGCTTTTCCTTATCAGTTCAAATTCAAACTCGATTTCCTATTTTCATACGACCAGTTAGGCCTGGCATCGGTGTTTACTCGCCCTATGGGCTGACTGAGTTTTTCTTCCTTGGCACTGGTTGCAAATTATCCTCAAAAAGAGAGGTTTGAGTCGGGATACGTACAGTGTCCTTTGTTTTTTATCACCAGATTCGCCCATTCGTCAAGTTCTAAATTACGTTTGAGCAGTCAGTAAAAAAGGGTTCCTCGTCATCACCTCGAGTGGTGTAATAAAATAAAAACTGGCTCAGCACTGAGACCAAATTGTTGATGTGGTCATGTCTAATGTTGTGTTATGAGAAGTTGATGTGTACGGGGGAGGGGGGGGAATAACATAGGAAATGTATGATAGATAGAGGAAACTGAAATATATGAAATAGGTTTGAGTTAACAAAGTTCGAATTAGCGCGGTTCAACTGTATTTCAAACATCTCTCGGTAGTCAAAAGAATCATTTTGGATCTGCAAGTTCCTTTTCCATTACGCAGGGTACGAGAGTAGTTATCTATGCCAAGGTGGTGGCACGTTCAATTTTACGCAAAACTTCATTTGCTTGTTAGATTGTTATATTTCTGTTAACTTGAAAATGTACTTTGTTTCTAAATACATGAAAACTCAGAAAGGGAGCTTTGTGGAAGTTAAAAGAGTAGCCGTCAGTTTTTTTCTGTTGACAGACTAGTACTTGCTCATAATCTTGATTAGAGTCATAACATGCATTTTGCAAAGTGCAGTTGGTTTGAGTAAGTAAATTGAAGTTTTTGTTCTTGAGACTTTTTGTTGTTTTTTGTTGCTGTTTTGTTTTCTTGTTGATTTTGTCAGAGGTCTGGTTATGACAGAAGGTTTTGTGTCTGAAAAAGTTGAGAAATTGGTTTTGAGTCTTGGGAAGTGTTTTGGGACGAAATTTCTCAACAGTTGCATTGTTAATATTATGGAATGGGCCCTGTACTCGTACTTGGAGAAGTCAAAGTTCGGCTTAGATGTTCGTTTGTTTTTATCACGAGTATTTCCTTACGTTTTCCTTCGAGTCCACAAATCTTGTAAGTGTGTTGTCACTGTAGTATTTTCGTTTCGCTTCGTTTGTTTACGTTTGTTTCCTTTTCTGTACAGTCCAACCAGATCTTCGTGAATTAAAAGTTATTCGAGTATTCAACTCGACACAATAAACTTCAAACTCTTGAGAAGCCAGTATCCACATCACATTAGCAAGCTGGCAAAGGAGTAAATATTCAGAAAAACTTCAATTTCCACCAATGAGAATTTTGAAAATGTCGTTTTAACGGACTGCATGACTTCAGGAGAAAATATTGGTTCAATTATTTCTCTAGTCTCCCTCGCAGCCGTTTTTAGTCTCGTCACGCAACGCTTCTCCCCACAAACGGCTGCTCACATTCGAACAACATTCCTTTCCGCTACTTCAACCAATCACTATTTGGGTTACATATGTTGAGAACTGTACGCGCCAAAGTAGTCTAACCAATCATATTGTTTGTTTCATCTTCGAGTTCAAAGCTTTGAAAATGGCGTCCTTTGAAGAAGCGTTTAATGTTGTTAGTAATACATTTCGAATTCCTAGTTTAAATGCGCAGCAAAAAACTGGAATTAGGAAAATAGTTGAGGAAAGAAAGGATGTATTTGTCAATCTTCCTACTGGTTTCGGGAAATCTCTCCTGTATGAAGCACTACCACTCGTGTTTGATCTTACCTCACAAGAGCCTGGTCATATCGTCGTCGTTTTCTCACCATTGGGGAAAGCCTTATGAACGACCAAGTGTCCCATTTGAGGGAGCTAGGGCTAAAAGCTGGTAACATAAGTTCACTTGAGGGTGGTAAACGCACTCGTGTCGAAAGCGGCGAATATTCCTTAGTTTACGGATCCCCTGAAGCGTGGTTAAGGAACGAACGCTGGAGATTTATGCTGACGAACTCTGTGTATTCCATGCCAAAAAACTCTGTGCCATTGCCGTCGATGAAGCGCATGTTGTAAGGCAGTGGTAAGTGTTTCAATAAAAACGAGTCTGCAGCAAAATGTTATTTTACATGTATGTTTTAAATTAAGCAGTATAAAGGAAAGGACAATAAGAATGTAAATATTGTAAATAGAAAATGTAAATAGTTTAGTCAGTATTAGTATTACACTGTGGTCTTATTTTGGTTATCGTTATTTTATTCTGTCTGTGTTATATTACACATGATCACCTGTAAAAATATTGTGTCTAAATACAAGACATTATCATCGCAGTATACACTTCTGAGTGCTTCAGATTACCAATAAAATTGATATTGGGTGCCATGGTGTAGCCTATTTGATTGTCACTACTACATAGATAAAAGCTAAACTTTTTAAAATTTTATACCCCTAGACCCTAAAAGGAAGTAAATGTCCCATCAACCTATTAAAACTATGCTTGAAACTAACGTCATTTAGGGAACTTAGTCTGACAGGACCTGTCCCGACACAAATAAAACCTAAAAGTTCTAAGATGGTAGACCCCTAGACCCTAAAATGGAGATAAATGTCCCATCAACCTATTAAAAACCTATGCTTGAAGCTAACGTCATTTGAAGAACTCAGTCCAATAGGACCTTGAAAGTCCTGGCAATGTTAAAGGAGCTAGAGACTACAGCTTTCTGCATGTTCCTTAGCACTGAATGACATTAGTATTATTATTATTAAATTATTAAAATTAATAAAGTTTTCATTATATTATTATTATTATTATTAC